TCTGGTGCATGGGGACATTTGTCCCTGGACGTGGGAAATGCAGGGGTAGCTGCACTCGCTGGGGGGCAGGTAGGAACTTCAGCAGCAGAGGCTGCAATAGGAGATGAACAGCATGCATTTTGGGGAGCATCCACACTGAGCTCTGCAACAGAGAGAGCTTCCCAGACAGGGCTGGGCTGGCTGAGATTGCCAGGACGATGGAGTCAGCAGCATCCCCCATCAAGCTCCCTGTTGTGGGGGTCCTAGAGATATGCCCCTGACGTGCTAAATGAGGCGCATCTAGGAGCCCACAACTTAAATTTAAAGGTGGTGACTCCTTGTCCTGTACCCTTCAGCCACAGTGACCAGTCTATCACCATCCGCTGTATAACCACCCTTCAGGTGTTTGAAGCCCTACGGCTCTAGAGATGTACCCCATTCAGCAGAAACTCTTCTACTTCACCATGATCACAGCCTCCTGCCAACAGAAGCAAAGCAGCCAGCCCAAAAGACTGAGGAGTCATGCGCTGCCAGAGACAAAGATGCCGACCTGGTCCCTGGAGCTGGAATGGCAATTGCTAATTTATACCCGGGCCCCGGCTGGCATAAGCAAGAGCCTGCAACTCGCAGCTGAGACATCTGTCACCACGGGAACTTGGCGTCGGCCGCATCCCAGAGACTCACGCTGATGCTGATAGCAAAGAGCACAAAGTGCGCTGTCCCGCCCTCACCTCGCCAGCTGTCCCGAGTGCACTCGTTCTCAGTTGTTGTCTTCTGCAACAGGGTCACTTGGGGCTCCTGCACCTGCCTGAGTGGGGGAAGAGGACTGCGCATTGCTGCCATGAAAGGGGCAGGGAGGGCTTGTGACTCCTTGTCCTGTCTCCTGCAGCCACAGTGACCACACAGTGATCACAGTGTATAACCACCCTTCAGGTGTTTGAAGCCCATTATCAACTCCCTCCCTCGGTTTTCTCTTCTGCAGACAAAATCATTCCCGTTTTTCCAACCTTCCCTCGTGTTTCCTTGACATTTAACTATTTTTGGTGCTTGCCTCAACAAGCTGACTGATTTTTCGTAGGGGAATGTTATGCATAAAAGGGCACAGGACATCGCCACAGCAATGCAGCCACTGCACACC